TATTGATTTAGATTAACTTTTTAATTACATCACAAATAGGACTTTCTATTTTGTATATACTGTAGTATTCGTGATTAAATTTGATATTGCTTAATCTCAATCGAACACGCGTCTGTCCCGTTTTTTTTTTTTTTTTTTTTTTTTTTTTTTTTCATTGTACAGTATCGCAAAAACTAGAGCAGTCTGAAAATCAAAATTTTTTCAACTTATATTTTGACGCCTTTTGAATTTATTTTTAGGATTCAAATCTGTATCATAACATAGGGCCTGCTAATTATTGAGTCGTTTACTCTATTCATGATACATGCATCCAAACAAAAACACTATTAAACAAACGGCGGTCAGACTGAGATTATAGTACACTGCATGCAGGCACGCAAATTTAAGACAATAGCCAAAATTGTAACAAATTTTATTTTAAAAATATTTTGTTTCGATGTTTTGACTCGAATGTTCTGATTTTTAAAGTATTTAATTTTAACACTTAAGACTTTCTGTATAACCTTTTGGAGACCCAGATGTGATCAGACGACCCTCAAAAATTCACTCACGGCCCAAACTTGGGTTACGACCCATGGGTAAATAGATTTTATTATGACTGTATAACAGTTAGAGCGCATGTCATGCATGCATAATAATATGCCAAATAAATATTAATAAAATTTCAGTTCCTTAACCTTTTTATTTGTCAATTATAAGTGTTGGACATCAACCATCTATAATTTCCATTTTTTACTTGCCTGCCTATCTCCCCCACCCCACTCCCCACCACCATTGCCAACCATATTAAAGTTCATTCAGTAAAATTCAGTCTTGGCTATCGGTATTTCCTTTGAGTTATAATCAGCTGGTACACTGAGTAAAAACAAACAAGATTTCTTTCTCCAGATATTCGATCGATAGCAGTAGCCAGTTTAGGGGGTGGGGGCCTTTTTTAAATTTCAAAAAATATTGAGAAAAAAATAATATATTCAAATTTTTGTCTACAGGTGCAGTAATCATACATTTTCTTAGCTCTACTTCAGCCGTACGTGGTTGGACTGAGGTAAAAAAGAAATATAAAATAGTACCTAGATGGGAAGACACTTTTATATACAGTAGTAAAATTCATCATCATCACATCACCTGGCAAAATAAAGCGTCAACAAATTTCTCATGATCTCTTATTAACGATTTTCGGCAAACATAGAGATCTAATTAATACTGTACATGTGATGTAAAATGAATCATCATTGATCGTATGTTTCTTTGTTGTTTATGTACTTTTGTTGCCATGAGAAAAACTAATTTCATATTTTAATTTGACAATAAAGCTATCTTGTATCTAATATGAATCGTTGCGATAGAAATATAACAACATAATTGTCTTCGATTTATCTACTTTACCTACTTCATGAGCCGAAAACCAATTTATCTTTACACACTTTTATCATACTTGTATAATAAAGGCACGCACTCGAGTCGTGTATTACAGTTAATTCAGATGTTTGTGGACAGAAAACACACCGGTATCTTGTTATAAAATAAGATGTTATCTGCCTGTAAAGTGGTCTTTCGTTAAAATCTGGTCATTTATGCAGTTCAATTCTACAATTTCCAGGTATATTCTTGACTTCCTTAGGAACGTGATGGGGACCACCACCTTAAAATAGTTGGGGTACGTGTCGCCTGTCACCCCCGTCCATGCTATTCACCAGAAGACAAGGCATTATACAGTAATTCGGCACCAAATCCTGAATTTACGTGATTTCCAACATTTTTTTTATATGAAGAGAGTAGAATAGTAGGCCTATTCCAAATAAATCAATTATCAGTCATTATTATACTTTTTAAAATATCAACAATTATTTTACACTATTTGCAAATAAATTTGTTTTATTGTATTAGCTATAAAATTTTTTAATTGGTGTTTTTAGGTAAGAAAATATAATAATAGGCCTATTCCTATATAGGGCCTATTGATGTAAGATCACATACTTTTTTTTCCGACTCCTGAGTCTCAGCTGGGTCGGCGCACACTGGGCAGGCCTCACTATTTGTCAATTAATCGTACCTATCATTGTATTTAAAATTAATATTGAATTATTGTTGTAGATCCATCTACCCTGAAATTAAATATTACAGCGGTTATAATATCTAACAATTTCCGTGTTTACATTCTGGGACGTGACGTCGTACGAACTTGCGTACTTGCGTACGTACGTACGTGTGTTGCGTAAATGAGTACGCGCAGACTGTTGAAGGTATGTTAACCAATCAAAAGCGTCAGCGGCAAATCAAATTAAAGCGCTTCGTAACCAAGGCACAGCACACACATCCTAGGCAGGGCGTATAAGCCCAGTGAAATAGTTCAGTTTTCTTTGCTATAAAAATCACCTTTCCCGTGGGTATATTTTGGTAAACTTTTTGTATGTTGTAGATATAAAATTTAACTATATATATTCATAAAAAAAAAACGTTTTGTTGCAATTATGTCCAACTTTGGTGCTTCCAATCAGAGCTCAGGAAGCGAAACGACGCTTTGATTTGCGCGAATAAATTCGCCTAGTGGAAAACCGGCTTTTCGCCGGGTGTGTGAACATAGCCATAGAAGAGCTTCAGTATGGTACGACCGACCCTAAAAGACTGTAGCTTTGATGTGCCTTTATTTAAAACAACTTTGCAATGTTCCTCCCAAGTTAATTTATTATGGATTAAAATCCCCGGTATTTGTAACTCCTAGTTACAAATAGACTGGCGCCTCTGAACTTCAAAATTAGTATCATTAATTACTTAGTGGTCACAATATCATTTCTTTTGGTCTTTCTAAAATCCACATAGTTCCTTTGTTTTTGTATCATTTAAATTCAAGTAATTGTCTTTGCACCATTGTGAAAAATCTGTTAACATATTAACATGATTAAGACAATTGTCCTTAATGAGCCCGATTAACACTGTGTCATATCATACTTTAGTATCATTGTCTCCTTGTTCTTCGATCGTGTGTTATATGATGTAGAGCAATGAGGATACACACAGCCTTGGGGAGAGCCAGTGTTGGTTATTATATTTTCCGAGAGGGAAGGAAATTCTGTATCCAGAGAATGATATTGGGGTTAATGAAGGTGGAGATCTTTCAGCTTATTGATCAGAGAAGGTGTGTTCATACTGTTACACGCCGATGCAAAATCAATGAATATTACTCTGGCAAAATGGCCAGCTCTGTCCACATGCTGTTTGTATGGATTGTATGAGCGTCAAACTGCATCTTCAACAACAGAGTTACGAGGTTGATATACACTTTTTAAATTTTTTTTTTATAAGAACACATTTTATAAGAACACTGAGGCTGAAATTGCTTAAAAATTAAGAACAAAATAAGAACAAATTGAGGCTGAAATAAAATGTCAAATGAGGTTTTTGAAAAACCAAAAAATTATATCTGTACCTTATGTGCAGTAATGTAGGTGTGACTATGTAATACCCCCTATAATCAGGTGTACTGTCATTTGGGGCCATTTTTACCAGGCCTTTTTTCGGAGGCAATTTTTCCAGGGCAGTTTTTTCAGGGCCTTTTTTTGCTGTACAATAATGATTTTCTATGTTTGAAAAGTGTGTAAAATAAGAAAAAATTAAGAACATTTTGAGCCTGAAATCGGCCAAAAAATAAGAGGGCAAAATTTTACTGGTGGTTATAAAAAAAAGTGTACATATTGAAATGGATCAACTTGTGGCAGCAGCGAATGGAATAGCAACTTAGCAATCAAACGTTCAAATGGCTTCATCACAACAGAAGTTAATATGCGACTGGGCGAAAATCATTGAATTCAGCTGGCCGGGTTTTTTTTTTCCGGGTACAGGGATGATGATGATTTCCAGCATGATGGTAGGCATATGGTGTTTAAATTATCCATGATGAGCCTCAAAAAACATGGTGAATGGTATGGCTAATTGATGGGAACAAACTTTTAATAATTTGGCACTGATATTATCAGGGCCTCCTGCCTTCCTAAGGTTAACTTTCATTTTCAGGAATTGTTTTACAACTTGCCACCTATGTATTTCAACACGACAATCATCAATGTATTGTTCTTCAAACTCATTTGACGGTGGATGTACTGTAATTGGCTGGATTTTCCGCTTCAAACTGCGCAAAGAGTACGCATTTAATTCATCAGCGGTACATTTACTGTTACTTTCATTATGGATGACTTCTTTTGCTGTTTCAAGCCTGTCATCTTATACATGCATTCCCAAGCATTTTTA